AAAAAGAACTAGGCAAATAGGAATCTTTTATCACAATTGCTGTCTGTAGGGGCCAACATGCCAAACTATACAAATACCGGTTAGTACTTTGCATAGACTATGTCCAGTACTGACAGAGTAAGTAAATGTAATAACTTTAATTCCACAAGTCCAAGCACATAAGAAGCAGTACGTTTTAATCATAGACCAAAATTAAGATAAAAAAAAACCTGTGCTTTTAATTATAGATAGTACTAAATATATGGAAAAAATATTATTTGAAAGTCAAATTTTGAATGCAATTTTGTTCCACTGCAAATTGAAATTTAGAAATGAGACTGAAGGTCCACCATGACTGTTAAAATCACAAATTGTGATGACAAATTAAAAAGGAAGGCCTGCTAGTTCTGTGGCTTCTCAATAATAATCAATGCAGGCAAGACATTCAACTTTCAGAAGTAAAATATGATAGCAAGATAAATTTTAAGAAATTGATTCTAATACAGAATATAACAAATAATGAGTTGACTGAGTTTATATATAATCACTTAAATTGAAGATGCCTAGCATACATAACATTATGTAGAATCAATTATTATATAGAAGGAACAAAGGGAAAATTCATGGATCAATCTTGTTTGCACCTCTTGGGGAGTGATTGAAATGTTAGCTATCTTGATTGTGGTGGTGGTTTCAACGTGTAGTTTACTGTACAGGAATCATACCACAATAAAGGTGTAAAAAGAAATCTTGTATAAAATTCAACCAGAAAGTTGCATATCATATTTGCAAGTGCTAATTTTCTTTTACTAATAAAATGTTATGTTTGAGAAACTTCTGTTTTCATTTACTGATCTACACACTGCTTCAACACAGAAGAAAAAAATATTCATTTAAAGTTGTTTTCATTTCTGTTGTTATGTAGAGCCAGATTACCATTTGGTAAGAAGATAATATGTTAGAACTTAGTTGAATACAATTACAGCTAATTCTTAATTATTATTGTGTGAATCATCCCTTTTGTGGACTAACCATCAATAATTGTAATACTCTCTTCTGCTCCCTTTGTTTTATTTCTACTACTATCGTGTTCCCTAATATACTAACCAAAGTATATTGCAAATAAAACAAGACACTTTACAATGTATATTTTCTAAAATTAGGTAATGATTCTTTGTGTAAAATCTTTGATTTTGGTAGGTTTTGCAATGTTTACACTATATTATAAGAAGTATTCTATCACTTCTTTTTTTTTATAAATTCTTTCTGACTTTCAACGTAACTTTCCTTCCTTGAATATATCCTGGTATCACAAAATCTACAAGGAAAAAAATCAAACAAGTAGAATCAAATATATGCAAATTTATAAAGACTTCAGAATATCTTTCTCCATAACATCTGGATGTAACTTGGTTTTTCTGCTGTAAGTACTGTGGAGATACACTATAATCCAGCCTCTTCATAGTTCTATGACCCCCTTTATCCTCTGAACCCAACTTTATTCACAGAACACCAAACTCACCATTGCGAAACACTATATATTTAATATAATTAACAATCCTATTTCCTTCATCGACTCTCAACTTTAGTTGTGCTCCCCAGAAGCAATTATGATTTTTCAATTTTTTGTACATTGAGAGTTTCATGAGAAAAGGAATTTTTTTCTTGCTTTTCTTACTGTCTTTAATAATGTAGGAAATGGAGGAATAGATAATAACTCATAAGACATGGTTGGCAGAGTGCTGAAAATAATTTTTCTTCCTGGTTTTACCTCTGTACCTTCATTCTCACCATTAGTTATTCAGTCATTCAGGTTAAGTTTGTATTTTTATTATCAAAATGGAAAATCTTGGGGAAGTAATAAATTAGGCTCTTATCAAGAAGTCACACCTTCTCTTGTAACAATTAGCTGAAAAGGACCTTGTGCATAGAACAGTAATTAGTGGAGAGGATTCTGGGAACAATATATCATATCTTATCTAGGAACTTTACCATATCTAGGAACAATATATCTTAATAAATGCATGTAGTTCTATAATTTTATGATCATAGTAATATAAATTATAAGACAATGAATGCTGAAACAGTGTAATATTGGTTTATTATATCAAATAGTATTTCAGCCTATGTGATATGATTTATCCCTTAAGGTATAAGTTAACCTCCCAAGATCAGAATAGTTGGTATGTATTACAGGTGAAACTTCCTATAATCATATATTTAACCTGAAGTTTCCTTATTCTTGAAATATTAAGTTAAAATAAATAAAACAAAATTGTAATTATTGTTATTACCATCACTATGACTAGAGAAAATAAAAATAGCTGCAACTCAAACAAGCTTATGAGTGTTAGACATATTTTGGCAGATTTCTGCATTTCAAATGAATTAGTAAAATGACTATCACATTGCTTAAATGATAACAATATTAGGTATTAGAGCTGCCAATAATTAATAATAATTTATATAAAACTGAAGGGAATAATAGATATGCAGAAATAAGATGACTATTACGTTCATTCCTCTAAAAATATTATAAAATCATTGAACAAAGATGACTTGCTTTTACTGTGGAAACGAAGAGGATTCTACTTTGACAATATGACAGCCTGACCACTTGATGACTACAAATTCTGTATTAGGGTTTTGGGTTTTTTTGACACTTATTTTCACTTATTTAAAGTAGAGAATGTTTAATATGATGAAACTTTTAAGAAAGAACAATATATAAATTATATATCCCTGCAAGTTCGTCTCCTTCAATCTTTTGTTTTGGTCATCGGTCACTGGAATCTTTGCTACAATGCCAACATGTTACTGAATGAGGCACAATACCATTGTCTCCCCTTTTCTGTGGGAGATACACTCGAAGACCTTCAGTGATTGCCTGAAAGCGTGGATAGTATGAACGTTACATATGCTATGTTTTTTCCTTAACCTGCATGCCTATAACAAAGTTTAATTTATAAACATATTAAGAAAATGTCCAAACACAGTGAAATGGCCTAAGATTTCATCATGCTACTCAGAATGGTGGGCAATTTAAAGTTTATGAATTGTGAATTTCCAGAATTTTCAATTTAATATATTTAGACCACAAATGACTATGGGTAACTGAAACTGCAAAAAGTGAAACTGAAGATAAGGGGCGACTACTGTACCTAGTAGTAAACAAAAAGAATCTTACTGCTGAAATTTTCTATTTTCTGTTCCAATCATGTCTTTCAGTCTGGATACAGCAGGATTTAATTGGGCATGTTTTCAGAAAAATCTGTAGAATATGATGTGATGCATAATATATAACTTCTAATATATTAACCAAAGTCCATTGTGGTTTATTAAAATTTGACATTCCCCACACTGTACATTATTAAATATTTAGTTGTACTGATTAAAGATAAAATTGAAACCTCAAAGAACTGAGAGTACAGAAGATGCTGAAAAAGGAAAAATGTTTTGATTATGTTCTGAACCAAAACATTTTAAAAGATGATTTTTCGATATAAAAAACTAATTTTTAATTAGCTAAAATTTCATATTTCATATTTATCCATATAATGATAATGCTGAGGGAAAGTAGAATATTGAATCAACACTCTGCTATTTTTCAAATGAATGCTATTGAGAAGCAACAAGTAGTCAAATTACTCAATAAAGTTTATATAAAATAAAGCATAAATATTTTTCACTTGCTTTAAGCCACCATATGAATCCAGATTTAAGTCCATTTGAATTTTTATTATTTACCACTCTAAAGTTCTTTCTCACTTTAAATACCTTACCTAGTGACTACTCTTACTTTTAATTGTAGTTAAAAAATAGCAGAACATTTACCGTCTTAACCATTTTTAGTTTACAGTTCAGTAATGTTACGTATACTCACATTTTTGTACAATGATTTTAAAATCTAGGCCATCTTGTTCTTTACAACTCAGGCAATTCTGGTAATATCTGTGGGTTGCATCTCTCTGTGAGTTGTTTTAAAAAAAATACAAACTTATTTTTAATTAGATTAAACTTTTTGAAAAAAGTAAGATTGTTGCAAATGATCAGTTCATATATGAGCAACCCAATAGAAATATTTTCAAATTTACTTGCTCAACTATTATAATGAGGAAAATCATGCTTGTTTTGGATATAATGTTTGGATATTATTTCTCTCTCAATATATCTGGACATTGTCTCCTTATTTTTTTATGTTTCTGTATATTTATCATCTACAATTGTTTTTGTCATATGTGTTACATAGGGGCCATACATAGTTCATAGTAGACAGTATCGACACATTTTATTATCTAAGATAATTTATAATTTAAGTAATATAAAGTCAAAAGTAATGTCAGCAACTTCCCCAAATGCTATTTATGAAATTGTTGTGTTAATATACAATATACTAAATGAAGACATGTAATTTGGGTAAGAATCAACCCAGGAGAAGTATGTAATCATGCTAAGAAATATTCCAATGTTTCAATTTAATGTGTCCCTGGAATTTAAATCAGTGATAAAACCACATATTGAGTTTTATAGCACTGACAGAATTTTCTAATGTTAGTAAGCTCTGACCCAAGAGGAAATTAAATCAACCACTTTTATCTAGATCAACTAGTACTGCAACCTGTATTGAACTCACTTATTACCTAGAATTTGAAAGCCAGTGCTTAAGGTAAAAATTACAGATTGTCACAATTTCTCTTTAAAATTCATTAGGAAGTTGCTAGGTTAATGATAAACTAAGCACTTCCAAGCATATAGACAGAGTCAGTGCTTTTTTGCCCCTAGAACATACATAGGTAAGCATTTCATCAGTAGGTAGCAAAATGAAAAATATGGCTTATTCATTTATCACTTTTTTATCCTCTTCTCTCATATTTCTTATTTTAGTACACATTATGTTTTTTTTGGGGGGGGGAGTGGGATAAAGAACACCTAATGATAAATTATGGTAAGACTACTCTAGTGGTCTAACTGAAATCTACACAAATAAAACATTATAACAAATTATGTGTTTTGTGGTGCTGACAATATGCAATACAGAAACTTAGAGAAGTGAGATCAATGCAGAGCAATTCTCTAAAGAAGTTTTAATTGATTACATTGGTAACTAAAATTATCAGAATAATTTAATTGAGCAATTAATATGTCAGGTACTTGATTTCATTTAATCACTGTAAAATCTCTATGAAACAGGAATTAAAATTTGCATTTAGGTGAAGAAGGAAAGTTTCAAAATTTAAATCATTTAATCAATAGCAATGAGTAAGTGAAAGACTCAGGATTCAAACACAGGGCCATCCAGCAAAAGACCTACTCTTAATCACATTTACTCATGTAAATAATTTCAACTGAAAATAATGATCTGAAAATTCTGAAAATTTAATCTTCTCTTTCTAATGGTAACTTTAGAAATTAGAAGCCTCTTCTACAATTAATTTGTGCAAAAATACGAATGCTAACAATCATATGATTTTCTGGCACTTCAAATGTTATTTTAATTTATTTGGTGTATGTGCTAATATTATCTTCTGAGAGAATCAACCTACTGAAGTTGATTATTCCAAATGACTTTTTGTATAACAGTTTTAGGTAACGACAAATGGAGTTTTGTTTTCTCTTTCAATCTATTTCTTCCATAAAATTTACGGTGTAGAAATATATGCCAGTTATTCAATGTCAGAACCACCTAGAAATTAAAAGTTTACAGAACTATAATTATATACGAAGAAAGGAATTCAGAAATTGTTGAAAAGAAAAAGAGCAAAATCAGATATATTTTAAGAGATTTATAGCACTAAAGCCATTGAGTTAAGAGTGCTCAATTTATGGGATACAGTTTATCATTTGGTGAAAAGTGGAATGATTCTAAACAATATTTTGGATAACATAACTTGTTATTAATAACATGTTATTTATATATTGAATATACATTTTATGTTAAATCACGTAAAGTATGTATGACAGACAAAGGAAAGGGTTTTAACTTCAGAGGATACACGCTGCAAATTCAAACCCTATTAGCCCAGGAGACATTAACACTTGAGCTTCTTAGAGGGTCATAATGCCTACTAAACATGATCAAGGGGTCAGGTGACAGACAAGCAGTAAGTGTCTTTGTGGGGCAGTACTGCTTACAACAGATTTTCTAAACTAAGCTAAAACCAGCTGGGAACCATACTACCCTTGCAATAGAAGGGTTGCTACTGTGTTAATAAATTTAGAATATGTAAACCTATGCCAAATCTATCTTCAGTGATATAACTTGCCTCTTCACACCATAAAAATTTATTTATTGTATCAAGTACAAAGCAGATAATCAGCAGGATCTGATTAACAAGGGAATTTGATTATAGCTGTCTAAAAGGGTCAAAAATATCTTCAAAATCTCTAAATCAAGGTGACCCATTCCTATGATTCTATATCTATCCACAATAGCTTCTTTTATTATTATAATACAAAATTTCCTCTTCCCACAATTAGAGTAATAATATATATTTGGGGATCTTTGGAATTAATATATTACATGGATATTTGTGTATCTATAAAATGTATTTTTAATGAGGCACATGTATATCACACTGAAAAGGTTGAAATATTTTGCAGATTTGTGAAGCTGGAAACCATTTCATCAATGTTGTGTTGGCTCATCCCAATCACACAGGTTAGTCTCTTTTTTAATCTTCTCTAGAGTGAATTCTATTAATTACTATTTTGAAAGCAATTGTTGGAAACATTTGAGATTACTATTCTCTACTTCTTGTCTTTGTATGCTTAAATTTTCCAAATATTTGAATTAAATTATATTCCCTAATAATGGTTTCTCTAAAATGAAGTATCTATGTACACACACACACACACACGAAATCTCATTTAAAAATATGAAAAAACAGATAACTAAGTAGTAAAGGTCTGTTTGTCTCTTCAAGTTTGTTTTAACATCTGTCTGAATTTCTTCACATTTTCTTGTCTTGCACATTTCTGGCAGTCTGGTGAAGCATATGAAACACTTTCCAGAATATTTTTTTTTGGATAAATCCTTTATGCCTGAAGAAGAATATGGGTGGTGCAGCATTGTAATGTTAAAAAAACAAACAAACAAACAAAAAAACCCTTCAACTTTAACTTTACTGAAGCTCTATTATAAATAGTAACTATGGGTTGAGAAAGCATACCACAGAAATGTAAATATTACATTAGTAACTTATAAACATATATTATTATAATTAATAGCAATTATATACACTTTAGAAAATACCTATATAATGTTTTTCTGTGTCATAAAACATATTGGTTATTTAATCTACAAATGACATCTGGAAGAAATGCATATTTGTGGACACTGATCATTCCACTACCTCCAGTGGCTTATCAGTCATAAACTGCCTTTAACCTAGATTATCTTGTGTGCAAATTCTGCCTCTGAAATTCAGTTCCTATAATGTGGGTAGGTTCCTCAATTATCTTTCTATTGATAAATAAATGGAAGTTACATAAAGGCGTTTACATAAATGTTACCAAGAGAATCTGTACTACTTAAATGGCATACATATATGTCTTTATCTTGAAATGAGCAGTGCATGAAATCTGCATAGTGTCTAATATATTTTTTACTTTAACAATTCAACAGTAGTCACAATTTTGAAAACAACATACTGACATTTCATTATGACTTTAGTATTATAACTGAAAGATTAGTTAATGTGATATCTGATTAAATCTTGCTATGGAGAATAGTAATTTTATAATTCATATTTATTTTAAAATATCACAGCTCAAAGTTCAACTTGAAACCATTGGAAATTTGTTACCCAAATGTTTCTTGAACAAAATTCGAGAGGCAAAAAGCAACTAACAAAAATCAAAATACAATATGCTAAATATAATGAGAGCTGTAAATGACAACCCTGATTACTGAGCAGAAATAATTTATGTGGCATTTCTGAATATTAACTACACTGATATTCATTGTAATCCTCTTATGAGAGATTTTCGCATTTTTCTGATTTAAATGACATCCTTATAAAACTCACTTTGGATTTTCACTAATTTAATAGAGGGTTTTAAGATATTTAAAAATCTCAACCAACAATATCTTCTTTGACACTAATGAATAGGAAGAGGCATGCAATTGTTAAAATGCATTTATGAATCTCAGTATGCAATATTGCTGCAACTATTACAAAGTATACAAACATACAAAGTAATGTTTATATATAACTTTATTTAAAAACTTAAAGAACTGATTATTGTGGTTAATTTCACAGCAACATAGCTGTAGACATGGTCAGAAAACCATAGGTATTCTATTTGAGTCAAAAGGTCGTACCATTTGAAAATGGGTGCCTTCTGAAGTAATTTGTGAAAATAGTTTTTATAAATATATGATGACATTTCACATGGTATATAGTTGTTCTAGGGAACTTAGACCTATACAACATGTGATCAGATTTGCAATATGGAACATCATTGACATTTTACTCCTTTTTAAAAGGAAATAATGCCTGTTTCCCAACTCCAAATTATAACCCCTTTACATGGATGTTTTTCCTGGTTTCCTGTCCTAACTACACCTATGAGGTATGTTATTTACATATGCAAGTAACTGAACTTTATTTGATGATATACTAAATACATGTGTTTATGTATTCACATGTATTATAGGTTAATATATGTTATGTTATCATATATGATATCATTATACATACAGGTTTTACCATAGATACAGGCATAGAATAGACAGAAATATAGATGACTATATAGATTTCAATTTGCTATGGGCATAGAAAATTGGAATTATTCAACCATAATTTTCTCTGCAGAATAAAGAATATTTGTACATATATTAATCTATATTTAAAGAAAATTTTACAATTGTCATATAAAATAACCTGAGAAGTTTCTGGGTTTTATTTTTTAATCAACATTTTTAGAACATTATCTTTCATTTTCTTATGAATATGACACTGTTTTATGGGATTATTTAATGGCTTTATCATATTTAACAATGAAATGATTATTTTTGGGATATGTATTTCTACTTATAATTTTTCTACTGTGTTTTAAGTTTTTTTAATTGCCTATTGAATGCCATTAGTGAACAAGTAAATACTTGTTATGTTTCGATCTAACAGATTGGATCATGGATTAGTTTCACAGTCATGACGCAAACACTGCCAGGTAAGACTTAGGTTTACTCATAATTAATTGAAGTAAATACACCTTTAAGATATGTGGTGTTTGAGGACAAGTTGCTATAGTATTAAAATTAGTCATATTTGTAAGGGATGCTTTTATTTTTATTTTGAACTTTTTAGCAGTATTAAAATATATTGAAACTTTATTTAATATGCATCTCTGTGTAGCTGTGGCTTAACCCAAGCTAGAAAATGCAAATATATTTATTGAGAAACAAAGTTTTGTTAAAAAGAAGCAATAATATTAATACACTTCACTTGAAACTCTCTTGTACATGCTCACAGACCTGTACATACTATGTCTTCAAGCATCCATATGTGCCTGTGAAGGGAAGGCTGGGAGTATGAGTAATATTGAAAGCTGGTCATTTTAACACAGAGGAAAAAGTCAAATTGCTATGAAATGCATGTATTAGAAGGGATATATGTTCTGTCTATTTCATCCATTCTTTGTTCAACTGCACAAAAATCTGGATTACAATTAATGTGGTTTGTCATATGTGTGTATATGTATATTTAGAGGTATTTTATAAGCATATGGAAAACTATTATTTAAAAATTCAAAGAGATTTTTTAAACTCCTTATTTGGGAGTATTTTGTGGCAGTGAGACATAAAAAATATAGATTTATTTTAATCTCTATGTACTTTTTATGTCTATATAACCATTGATTGATTGAATGTATATTATGCTAGAAGATAAATGTGAGTAAAGAAAATTGATAGAGAACTATGCAGCATTTGATAAATATTTTAAGAGCTATATATGATAGTTGTTTCTAATATAACTTGCTGTATTCATGATAAAAATAAGAGAATGAATGATTATATCTTTTTTCTTCTAGTTGGAATTTTTACACTTCTAGTGAGTATCCAGATGTCTTTGTGGGCACAAAAGAAACATAAGATTTACCTGAAGAAATTCAATTCTTATATGCGTAGGAAATCGGCAATGATTCCATTTATATTGTAAGAAAAAATAAGTGATCTTATCTCATATACAGAAAAGTAGTATATGGACTCACCAAATCAAACTTGATGAATGATGGTTGCCTATTGTGTTTCAGAAATTCACAAATAACAGTATTTTTTCTGAGTAAAAATATAAAATGGTAGTACCTAGCTAAATTTAGAGTAATAAACTTCAGACAAATGAAAAGTAGAAATTATAATATGACTAATGAAAAATAGCATCCAATATGTTTGCAAGGGATTGATCCTTGAATGAAATCTTCTTACTTCATTAAATATTTCATAATACAATTTGCTTAGGACAATTTAAAATATCTGAATTCTAAGGTAAATATTTTT